AGGTTTTGGGATAAATCTTTGGGACTTTTTCCAGGGAATTGGGGAGGAATTTTTCCCTACAAACCAGGGAGGAAATTTGGGATGAATCTYSAGGAATTTTTCTGGAGGYGGGAGCAAACCCCAAATCCCAAATCCCAAATCCTCCTTTCTGTGTAAATCCCCTACGGGAGCCGAGTGTCATTGGGGGATTTAATGAGCGGCTTAAAATAGGGACCGGTCCTAAAAATAACCCCGAGTGACAAGTGACACTAATCCCGGGATGGGATCGGGATCGGGATGGGGACAGGATGGGGATAGGGACAGGATTGGGACAGGATGGGATCGGGATTGGGATCGGGATCGGGATTGGGATGGGGACAGGATTGGGATCGGGGTGGGGATGGGATGGGGATGGGGACGGGATTGGGATGGGATGGGATGGGGATGGGGATGGGATTGGGGTAGGGATGGGATCAGCATTGGGATCTGGATTGGGATGGGGACAGAATCGAGATCTGGATCGGATCTGGGTGGGGATGGGGACAGGATTGGGATGGGATTGGGATGGAGATGGGGATGGGACCAGGATTGGGACGGGATTGGGATCAGTATGGGGATGGGATTGGGACAGGATTGGGATGGGGACGAGATGGGGACAGGATCGAGATGGGGAGGGGATTGGGATCAGTATGGGGACAGGATTGGGATGGGGATGGGATCAGGATGGGGATGGGATTGGGATGAGATCGGGATCAGGATCGGGGTGGGGACAGGTACGGGTTCGGGGTGGGGATTGGGATGGGGATGGGATTGGAATCAGGATGGGGATGGGATGGGATTGGGATGGGAATGGGGATGGGATCAGGATGGGATGGGATGGGGAGGGGAACAGGATGGGAACGGGATGGGGACAGGATGAAGATGGGGATGGGGACAGGATCGGGATTGGGATGGGGATATCCAGGAGTGACACTGATATCCTGGGATAGGGCCAGTATTGGGATTAGAATTGGGATCGGGATTGGGATACCCTTCCTCCTGATCCCGATCCCATTAATGAGGCTGGGAAGTGACCTCAAGGGACAGGGATACGCTGACCCCGTCCCCAGATTTTGGGATCACCATGAACGCCATTCCAGCCAGACCATTTGGTGCCAGGCCCTTCCCAAAGATTCCTGCCCTTGGTCCCAAAAAAAATGACCTCAGAAAATCCCTTTTTTCACTTTTTTTCCCCCTTGAGTTTGGCCTTTTTCTTCCCGAAGTGGCAGAAACGAAAGGAAAAGGGATTGGGAGTGGGAAAAAGGAAATTTTGTGATTTTTGTGGAAGTTTTGGGGTGGGAAAATGACTGGGAAACGTCAGAGGGAGAGTTGGGGTGATCCCTGTCCATGTGTCCAT